TACTTAGTCGAATCGGAATTTTCGAATCTTGCCGATAGTCGACTGATAGTCGAATCATATGTTTTGGGGACGGGGCAAAATACATTACCAAGAGTCAAGTCAGACATTCGAGAGTCATAATTACTGACGCACAGGGAAAATGTGTAACGGACGCCTTGCAGATACAAACGGGGTAAATAATGTTTAATGTTTTGATTATAAGATAGTTAACATTAAACCCTAAGAATTCACAAAAATTTTTACAATAGTGCTCTCATTATAACGTTATGTATATGACAGTAGTTATTAATGTTCTGCATTTCTGTTCTGAGCTGCGCGCGCTGAAGATGACCAGTAGAATGAAGCATATGATAGCAAGTTTTTAATCAATGGGATTTAACTCATTTATCTCGTATACAATACGCTTCGTTATTTATACAACATAATGTTAATATTATGACTTATAGGCTATCTGCATAAAATGCCCCGAATGCACGAACGTGTCTGTGCGGCTCTGACTGAACTCCTTTTGTGGACGCGTTCTTCACGCAACAACGTGTAGAAACACGGCAACTAAACTCTAAAAATGTATTATAATAATAATATATATATAATATAATATAATATAATAATAATATAATAATTTATTATAATAGTGTTCTCATTATAATGTTTTGTATATGACAGTCCCAGTCATAGTTATTAATATTCTGCATTGTTTGTCCTGCTCGCACTGCGTGCTAAAGAAATAATGATCAAATATACACGATATATATACACCGGCTGAAATGTTTTGAAATCACTTGTACCCTACCTGATCGAAAAAATCCAGTCTTTCACTCTGTCTGTGTCAATTTGAGTCTTGTTAAAGTTTTAAATCCCTGCCGCCAAGATGCTTCTCACTTGGTCACGGATTATGGAAAGTGAAACTTAAATCTATAGGGAAGGTTGGATTTATTCACGCACGTTAAAATATTTATTTGAAGCTTCTTTCTTTTCAGATTCTTATTTACAGCATTATTTTAATAGACTGTATATTAACTTATTTGGAGAAAACCGGTAGTTCTATGTGAAATCAGACATTTGAGCACCCCCATATAGCCAAAATGGCATGATCATAACACCCCGCGAATATTCGACTGTGAGATTGGTAGTCGAATCGGGCTCCTCCTATCGAAGCATCGAATCTTCAACTATTCGGGGTCACCCCTAATTTTAATATAGTATTTTAATCTTTTTAAATTAGCTTCAATCTTTCAAAATGTAGAACATCTCCTAAACTGTCCTAAAATATAATTATAATTTATATTTATAAAAATATCTTTTTGTATGTTACAGGAATGGTTGGACCAAACATGCCACCTCCAGGACCTGCTGGTGTTCCTCCAGGCCTGCAGGGACAACCCACCAATGGACCACCTAAATCTTGGCCTGAAGGTCAGTAAATTGTGAAAATTATCCACAGTCACTACCAATTATCAATTCAAAATTTAGCCTTCATATTGCATTCTATAAACCTGAAGAGACAGTCGTATCTCAGAGTCACATATTTACCATGTCTTTGTAATCCTAGGGCCCATGGTGAATGCTGCCGCCCCTGCAAGTGCACCACAGAAGCTGATACCTCCTCAGCCCACGGGACGCCCGTCTCCAGCACCACCTTCAGTTCCTCCCGCTGCCTCGCCCGTCATGCCCCCTCAGACCCAATCTCCAGGACAACCGATGCAGCCACCCATGGTGCTTCATCAGAAACAGAACCGCATCACACCCATCCAGAAACCCCGGGGCCTGGACCCAGTGGAGATCCTCCAGGAGAGAGAGCACAGGTGAGATGAGGAAAAGAAATGGCAAATATTGATGTTTTAGAGTAAACACACTCTTCAAATCCTGGAAACACAACCTTTTTAACTGGCTTCACCAACATTTGATGTTGTCGTTTCAATCTGTCAGGTTACAGGCTCGTATTTCTCATCGTATTCAGGAGCTGGAGAACCTTCCAGGCTCTCTGGCTGGAGACTTGAGGACCAAAGCAAATATTGAGCTCAAGGCACTTAGGCTCCTGAACTTTCAGAGACAGGTATGACTTGCATCTACTTATTACGGAGAATAGGTGACTTTCGTTTTTTTGCAGAGCTTACAAATTGCAATTCTGTTGTCATTGTCACCCAGTTCAAATTAATTCCACACAAGAGACATTTTCTTATATGATAAACGAATTAGTTTATTAAAAAGTTATACAATAACGAATTAGAATGCAGAATGCTCTGGAAGGTGGTTGTAATTGACTTCAGCCCAGTCCTGCTACATTTTAGTGGTTTTTGACCCATGTTGTCCATCTTAACACAGCTCCGCCAGGAGGTCGTAGTGTGCATGCGGCGTGACACGGCCCTAGAGACAGCGCTCAACGGCAAGGCCTACAAGCGCAGCAAGAGACAGTCCCTGCGTGAGGCTCGTATCACAGAGAAACTGGAGAAGCAGCAGAAGATCGAGCAGGAACGCAAGCGCCGTCAAAAACACCAGGTACTGGACCGTTCTGGCTGCTGCTTGTATGAAATCATGCAAAATGTGTGCTTCACCCCTAAACCTGATTCAGAAATGACAAAAGATTGTTCGTGCCGGAACCGCCTGTTCTGTTTTTGCGTTTGTAGGAGTATCTCAACAGCATCCTGCAGCATGCAAAGGACTTCAAGGATTATCATCGCTCCATCACCGCAAAGATCCAGAAGGTGACCAAAGCCATAGCCACGTACCACGCCAACACAGAGAGAGAGCAGAAGAAGGAGAATGAGCGTATTGAGAAGGAGAGAATGAGAAGGCTGATGGTGAGATGCACAGACTTGCTTTTTTTTACCTGACATATAAATACAATTTAAACTGGTGGATCTGTTTTTCTGAACAAATGTCTAAAAAAACATATTTTGTGTGTGTTTCTTTCAGGCTGAAGATGAAGAGGGTTACAGGAAGCTGATCGATCAGAAGAAGGACAAACGTCTGGCTTACTTGCTGCAGCAGACGGACGAGTATGTGGCCAACCTCACCGAGCTCGTCAGAGCTCATAAAGCTGTCCAGGCCCTCAAAGACAAGAAGAAGAAGAAGAAAAAGAAGGTGCTGAGATTTACTGGATTTGAAAGAGTTTCTGTAATGGAATTTAATTTGGGTTGTTCTCAGTTGTTTATCCAGTAGTGTGCGAGATCTTTCTGTCTGCTTTTCTCCTCACAGAAGCCAGAGAATGCTGAGAGTGGAGCTCCTGCTCTGGGTCCAGATGGAGAGGTGAGATCTTTAAGTATATTTGGCTATGTGTGGCTTTTTGCAATTAGCTTGGCTGGTCATTTGCGCTAATGAATCTCTTGTGGCAATTCATGCTTTAGTTTATTCAAAATTATTTTTCATTTTGGTAAGGGAGTTTTGAGTAAAATCTGTAGAAGTTAATTTAATTTCAGCAATTTTGGGTATATCCCATAACCAGTTGCAGATATTATCTTGAACATAGTGGAATTGTATTTGAGAATCGCTGTTCAGTGTATGCATAATCTAATTTTAGGCCTTCAACGTGAAATATTATGGAATCGTATAAAATTTATTATTTTCTAGTTCTCCTTTGCTTTAGACTTTTATAATGCTCATATGTAGAGATAAACTTGCCCAAAATGATGCTCAATTTGTGAGTGAGTTTTCTTTTGAGTCAGTTTTTTTTTAAAGAATTGGTTTAAATCTATTCATAAAATGGTTTGAATTATTGATAAATCAGCCTGAAAAAAGATAGTGTGTGTATGTGTATATATATATATATATATATATATATATATACTGTATATAATACAGTATGTATGTGTATATATATACTATATATATATATATATATATATATATATATATAGTATATATATACACATACATACTGTATTATATACAGTATATATATATATATATATATATATATATATACTGTATATAATACAGTATGTATGTATATAAATATGTATACGTTTACATCAATATATAATTGAGAAATCAAGGGCCAAAAAAATATATTAGCCAAAACACAGTGGCGACTAATCTAATACAGCTATGTTTTTGTGTTCTTCTGTAGCCTCTTGATGAGACCAGTCAAATGAGTGATTTACTGGTGAAGGTGATTCATGTAGACAGTGGGAAGATCCTCACCGGCATGGACGCTCCTAAAGCTGGACAACTGGATGCCTGGCTGGAGGTGAATCCAGGGTGAGTGAGACTCACTTTAAGAATCTCATTCTTTCAAAATATGATATTTCTCAGTACTTGAGTATCTACTACTGAAAAGGGTTGGAGTAGCCCATCATAAACACTAGAACAATAGAAAGTGTTTGAATGCTATTTTGTTCATTTTCTGTAGGTACGAGGTGGCCCCGCGGTCTGATAGTGAAGATAGCGGCTCGGAGGAGGAGGAAGTATGGCTGTTTTTCAGCTCTCATATCTGTATTTCTGTTCAGCATCTCGAGCAGCACTCTGTCCTTTCTGCAAGGGCTTTACATGCACTTGAAGAGAAAACTCTCTTGTTTGTGCGTTCATGGCCATGATGGCAATGTAGGCCATCATCAGAATAAGATTAATGGCTAGTTTACCACGATATACTGCATTCATGACCTGTTACAGATAACAAATGTTTGTCTTTATGCACATTTTAAGATTCTGATACTTGTGTCAAATACAGTAGCCCGATATTAGAAAGCCATTTTTAACCATTCGTGATTTGATGTTACACACACATAAAGATGTAAAATGTATACTTAATGAACCATGAAGTGTATGCATGTTACATTTACCACTTTCTATTAATTATAATCACATTAGATATAATTATAAAATTGTCTAGTAGTTTTGTTTATACATTTCATAACTTCCATTTGTTTAATTAATTTTATGCGTAATTACAAATTATATAATTACAATAATAAAAAAAAGTCTTGTCTAGTAGTTTTACATGTATACATTTCATAACCTCCAATTCAATTATTATTTTTTTATTTATAATCACAAAAATACCTTTTAGAATTACCAAATTTGAGAAATCTATTATTACTGTGCTTGTCTGGTAGTTTTTTCTTTTATACATTTATTTCATAACCTCTATTTGTTTAATTTTACTTAGAATTATATAATTACATTTTTTTTTATGTGGTTGTCTGATAGTTGTCTGCATTTATACATTTCATAACTTCCATTGATTTAATGTATTGATAAAAATAAATATTTTAATTGAATAATATCTTTGCATTTTATTGTATTAATGTACTATTGTATTTTTTTTTCTGTAAAGGATGATGAGGAGGAGCAGCCTCAGACCTCTCAATCTTCATCAGAGGAGAAGAAGATATTTCCAGATCCAGACAATGAGGATGTGTCTGAGGTGGACGTCCGTCACATCATTGAGTATGTTACTGAATTAGAGCTGTGCTTTTTACTACATTCAAATGAGATTGTTTCCTGTTTTTCATGCTCTTTTTGGAATGCTATTCTGTTGTTATGGTGTTTGTAACAATATCCATTATGTCTTTCACAGGCATGCCAAGCAGGATGTTGACGATGAATACGGTAATGCCAGGTTCGTTAGGGGCCTGCAGTCGTACTACGCCGTGGCTCACGCAGTCACAGAGAAGGTGGAGAGACAGTCAAGCCTGTTAGTAAATGGACAGCTCAAACAGTACCAGGTACAGATGCACCTTACAGACTAAACAAATTGCAAATACACCTCAAAGTCTTTAGTGAACTGATCAGATTTGTTAAATGGCATGCTGAAGTTATTGCGTCTGTCCCGTCTGCAGATCAAAGGTCTGGAGTGGCTGGTGTCTCTGTATAACAATAACTTGAATGGCATTCTGGCTGATGAAATGGGTTTGGGAAAAACCATCCAGACCATTGCACTCATCACCTACCTCATGGAGTACAAACGCCTCAACGGACCCTTCCTCATCATCGTCCCCCTCTCGTGAGACACTTTTCACGTTCTCTACACTAGAGCTGCATGAGACTGGAAAAACTGACATTGTGGTATTTTGCTTTCTGCGTTTTATACATTACAGTATGAAAAAATACCAATATTTTTATTAGATGACATAAAAAGCTATATTTGGAAAGAATGAATCATTCCACAATGATTTTTGTTGGTGATTACAACTGCATTAAACAGAAAAATTCCTACACAGGCCACATTTTTACTGTTTTTGACCCATTCAATATGACAAAAAAAAAAAAGATTATTTTGATTATTATTAAATAAAAATATTAAAATAAGCAATGTATTGTAACACTACTATTATACTATAAAAAAAAAAAATCAAGTATATAAAAAATAGTACAACTGTAAAATTACAATACTATTTACATTTTAAATAATACGGTTTCAAACATTAAACCATCAAACTTTTATTTCAGCAGATTGTGTCAGGGTTCCCATGCTTCTTGAAAGTACTTGAATTTCAGACATATGGATTCAAGGCCTGGAAAGTACTTGAAAACAAACATAGGTCCTTGAAAGTGCTTGAATTAAATTTGAAATATTTTGTTTATGGCCCCATTTCAAAAATTGTCCTGTATGTTCCGTCAAAGACAGAACGAAACTGCACTAATGATTGGGGGTGGAGAACGGGGTAGCGTGGAAAAAAAACTTAGCGTGTGTGTTGATGCGCAGTTTAGAGCCCTGTGTGGGACAGTTTTTTTAAGCCCGCTCCCGCTGAATTTCTGACCATTACCTCGCACTCCCGCAACGTGTGTGTCCCGCTCCCGCAAACATTCTAATATTGTATATAATTTTCGCACGTCAGGCAGCCGCTATCAATATGCGGGGTATTGAAATCGCATTTAAATGAGCTCTCGCTGTTCACTCTCACTTTCGATTTCGCGACGCGCACTCTGTGTAAAGGGAGCACATCTTACAGTGAGTGCATAATTATTAGGCACGTTGATATTCTGATAATTTTTTCCAAGCACATTTGACCAATTCCAAACCATATCAATCTTAATATCACCTATTATTTTTGTATTTAATCATTTAGAAGTGATCTATAATTGTCCATGAAGGCTGGAAATGAAAAACTCCTTATTAAGGTGTGCAGAATTATTAGGCAGGTTTTCTTTTACGGATGAAATGAGCCAAAAAAGAGATTTATCTCAAAAGTCAAAAATGATTAAATCCCCATGAGAAAAACTAATGCAGTCCAGAAATTTCAAAGTTAAAGGGTTAGTTCACCCAAAAATGAAAATTAGCCCATTAATTACTCACCCTCAAGGCATCCTAGGTGTATATGACTTTCTTGTTTCAGATGAATCCAATCGGAGTTATATAAAAAATTGTCTTTGACCTTCCAAGCTGTTTAATGGCAGTCAGCGGGTGTTGCAGTGCATCAGTCCAAAAGAAGTGAAATAAAGCGCATACATCCATAATAAAAAGTGCCTCACACGGCGCTGGGGGGTGGACAAAGGCCTCCTGTAGCGAATCGATGCGTTTTTGTAAGAAAAATAACCATATTTAAAACGTAATAATCAATTTAATCTGACAGGATAGGAGATGGACTAAAAGTGAACTCCCAAAACTTACTGCAACATGGAGCTAAGGAGAAAAATGTAGAACTCGAAAAATTGGAAAAACAGCTTAGTGAAAAGCGTTTACAGTTTAAAAGCAAACAGAAAGTCATATTTTTTTATTTCTTTTCTTTATATTTTTTTGCAGATTTGCACATGTACGAGGTTTAAAATGTTCATGAAATATTTTTTTTTAAATATTGACCTTTTGAGCAGCTGCATTCCTCTTGGTCAAAGATGAAAAAAGGATTTACAATAAAAAGTCATTTACAAAATCAAATAGAAAGTCCTATTTTTATTTCCTTTCTTTATATTGTTTGCAGATTTGCACATGTACAAGGTTTAAAATGAAATATTTTCAAAAAATATTGACGTTTTGAACAGCTGCATGTTTGAGCAGCTGCATTCCTCTAGGTCAAAGATGAAAAAATGGGATTTACAATAAAAAGTAATTTACAAAATTATTTTGACTTGAGTTTATTAATGAGTAATGTCTCTTTTGAGTGAATGTGCAAATTTTTAATGTTAACAGGTTTTACCATGTTATTACAACATTTAACCACTTTTTATTCATTTAAAAATTGAGAAATTCTTTAAAATTTAAATCTTGTACAAGAACTACAGCAAAAAACAGTTTGATGTGTATTTTATCAATATTTTAGAAATTGTATTTGAATATTACCAGTACTGACTTCAATGGATTTAATTAAATTCCTTTGAACACAACTGCTCAAAACGGTCTAAATTTATGAAACCTACACATTCAAAACATTATTACTCTGAAATTTTTAATGTTAAGTGTAAGTGAAATGTTAAGTAATGTTTCATGCTACTACATATGCTGGGGTGTGAATTGGATAGGTGCTTGATATAAAATAAATGGTGCTTTAAAAAGTCCTTGAAAGTCCTTGAATCTGGTGTTCATGAAAGAGTGGGAACCCTGTTGTGTATTCAATTACACATGCAGTTCATGGTACGGTATTTCAGAATGTCTTCATTTCTTTACTGTCAACCGAGACACAGAAACACTGTATCATGAGCTTCAAGCATGCAGATGAACACTGTGCCATACTTCAGTCTGAAACACACAATGCTTATTTCAGTCGCAGCCTTCATGATTTGATACCCTCTCTAAACCATATTGCGATTGTGATCGGTTTTAATTGGATATATCATGCAGCCTTACTCTACAGTGTTTATCTGCCCGTAACTTATGTAAGGTTAAACCATCTTCCTTTTGTCATTTTGTATTATTGATCTATTACAGTTGGTAATATTTCAACACAAATAATTACAGTGATATGTACTTTTAATCATTTGTTTTTCTAACAGGACTCTGTCGAACTGGGTGTACGAGTTTGATAAGTGGGCTCCATCTGTGGTGAAAGTTTCTTATAAGGTGATTATCTGATTCATTTATGTAGTAAACAAGGTAATGAAATGATGTCATGAAACAGGTTTGGCAAATTCAACAGGTTTTCCATAAACTAATGCTAAATAATACAAAATAAAACTGTCATTGATGCAAGTAACTGAAGGATATTACAGGATTAATAACTCATTTTCTTTGCTTGTTTTCATCTCAGGGCTCTCCTGCTGCTCGCCGCGCATTTCTTCCCATTTTGCGCAGCGGCAAGTTCAACGTGCTGATCACCACTTACGAGTACGTCATCAAAGACAAGCAAGTGCTGGCCAAGGTACAAACCTGCTCAGGCCCGGTTACAAAATTAAATTACTGAGGGTTCTCTAGCCTAGTGGATCCCAACCTGGTCGCTTAAGATTTACAAGGGGTCACCAAGCTGACTCTAGATTGAGGGTTACAAATAGGGTTGAAACGGTTACAGTTTGATGAAAAATTCCCGACAGTTAGTGTTACCATTTAATATTTTGATTATCATTAAAAGCACTATTCGAAAACCTAAACGCTACACTCACGCAGGCGCAGCATGCAGCGGAGGTTTTGTTTTGTGTGAAAATACCAAGGAAGGCAGTGAAAGGTTTTACAAAGGGAAATTATATGGATTAAAGTATGAATGAATTATTTTAATGCATCTCTGAAGAGAACTGACTGTCTTCACAAAAGTTTCGATGGCATTTTCTTTTCATCTTTCCCTCCGTGTAATGCCTAATATAGCAGTGTTTATAAGGGCAGCGCTGCTGTGTGTACAGCAGTTACTCTATTTCTGCTGTTCCATAAGCGCCACCTGCTGTCAGAAAATGGATTTACATTTTCATTCCGTTTTTGTTCAAACCAATGCAAACATTTTACTGGTTGATGGAAAATAAGCTAATGTGCTTTCAAAAAATCTAAACAATTTGGAAAATAAAGTATCTAGAATTATTAACAAGAGCAGATAAAATACCTATCATTCATCATTTTGACTTGTATCCCTTTTCTTAAAAATGGTTCAAAGCCTGAAATGTAAGATTTATCATTTTATAACACTTTCTTTTTTGTCAAAACTTTATTTTAACATGTAATACATGTTATTAGATAACGTTACGTTGTAGTCACCCAACCATTTTTTATTTTTTTTAATCCGGCCATTATTGCTAATGTCATTATTTTAATGTTTCCGCTGTTGTTGCATTTATTAAAAACTTAACTGTTTGCTTGTTTATTTATTTATTTTTTGATGGGTGTCAATAAAAATTTTGAATGTTAAAATTAGGGATGGGCGATATGGGCTTAAAGGGGTCATATGATGCGATTTCAAGTTTTCCTTTCTCTTTGGAGTGTTACAAGCTGATTGTGCATAGATAAGATCCCTGAAGTTGCAAAGACTAAAGTCTCAAAACCAAAGAGATATACTTTATCAAAGTTAAGACTCTGCCACGCCCCCCTAAAACGGCTTGTTCTAACACGCCCCCACATATCTACCTCACTATGTGGAAATATTTGCATAATGCCGCCCAAATGTGCACGCAAAGAAAGAAGGCGTGTAAAAAAGCATCATATGACCCCTTTAAATATTGATCACGATAATTTCTGATATTTATTGAGATAACGATATCAATGACGATCATTTAGGGAATCCTGTTTCTTTAGAGAAAAGTATTATCTTTCTTATTTTTACCCAAAATAGGGTGTTGTGAGCAGTTCACACGTAATGTAATGACTTTTTAATTCATACTGGAAGCCGGAGGGCGCCCTTGTACAGAAACTCCACATATGCATAGTAGAAGTAACGCTCCAGGAAATCCCTAATATGGACAGAGGTATCCAGTGATCGCTGTAGCTGAATAAAACGCAGATAGAGAAATTTTAACTGCGGACACCTGAAGACAGTAAACATGCGATTGCACAAAATATATGGTATCTGTGTTCTTCAAGCAATCTTGGGTATTTTTATAAGGATAAAATATATATATAATGCAATGCTAATCGACATAGCCTTCATCACTGTATATAATGCTATAAAATAGTAAGATTTCTGCCTTATTCTGTGATACGAAACCACGTCTGATCACAAAAATACGTTATTTCAAACACCCGACTATGTTATGAAGTTAATATGGAGAAAAAGTACGTCAATAAATAATATCTTTGTTGGACAACAGCTTTATAAACAGGCTCATACACAGGTAACACTATCGCACACGTGCTACTGTAGTACATTTATTCAAGGCTCAGACTGATTTTTGTCGCACTGTACAGCCCTATCCAAACCTGTTCCAGATTGTAGAAGGAGCTGCTCAATTTCACGTCTGCCTTCCTTCACGTCACTCCACACAGTCGCACACAGAAATATGTCAACAACTAGACTTTATCGTTATCGCGGTAAGACGAATTCTTATCGTGTGGAGAATTTTTACCGGTATATCGCACGTGGGGAGAATTTTTACCGGTATATCGCAAACGATAAGATATCGTCCATCCCTAGTTAAAATAGGGGTCCTCTGGAAAAAAGTCACTAAAAAGCTGTCACTCTTAGTTCATTGTGATCTCACGAAGTTCTGTTACAATCATTATCATACATGTTAATTTTTTTTAATAAGCTTTTTGACTACGAACTTCTCGTTCAGTTTCTGATGCTTCTCTCTCTTTCAGCTCCGTTGGAAGTACATGATAGTGGATGAAGGTCACCGTATGAAAAATCACCACTGTAAACTGACTCAGGTGTTGAACACGCACTACCTGGCGCCTCGGCGTGTGCTGCTCACTGGCACGCCACTGCAGAACAAGCTGCCTGAACTGTGGGCGCTGCTCAACTTCCTGCTGCCCACCATCTTCAAGAGCTGCAGCACCTTTGAGCAGTGGTTCAACGCTCCATTCGCCATGACCGGAGAGAAGGTATAAAAACTTTTAGTAGGTGTACTAGTACATTTAGACAGGATACAATAAATTGAAATTCTGTTTTTGTGTAATCTGGCTTCATAAACTTCCTGTCGTGTTCTAAAGGTGGACCTGAACGAAGAGGAGACCATTCTGATCATCCGTCGTCTGCACAAAGTGCTCCGCCCCTTCCTGCTCAGGAGACTCAAGAAGGAAGTGGAGGCCCAACTGCCAGAGAAGGTTTGTTTTATGCTTGAAACTTTTCAGCCAAAAAAAAAGTTGTTTTTTTCATGCTTGTCAATATTTAATCTGTATTTGAGTTTGTGTTTGTTCTGACACAGCTTAAAGGGTGAAATGAAATTATTAATGAATTATGAATTTAAAATTATTTTACTTTTCCTCTCTCTTCAATCAAAGTATCAAATTAGTATTAAAAGTGCAAGAAATAAAATTAAAATCTGCAATATTCAAGGCATATTTTTCATTTTTTTTAAATTAATAATACAGAACATGTAACCATTGTTTTGTATGTTTATGAATGAATGAATGAATGATGCATTTATATAGCGCTTTATTGTGTATTGCTGTACACCCAAAGCGCTTTACAATCATGTGGGGGGATCTCTCCTCAACCACCACCAGTGGTATATGCACCAATATAAAAATACAGTAATATTTATCTACATACTCTACTGTTCAGATGCTTGGGGTACATTTATTTGATCAAAAATGCATTAAAAACAATAATGCTAAATATTATTACAATTATTAAACATTTTCTATTTGATCCTGCAGAAATCATTCCAATATGCTGATTTGTTGCTCAAGAAACATCAGTGTTGAAAACATTTGTACTGCTTAATATTTTTGTGGAAACAGTTATACATTTATTTTTTTCAGTATTCTTTAAATATGAAGTTCAAAAGTTTTTGTGTAGCAATGTAAAAGTCTATAACCGTTACTGTTTCCTTTAAAAAAAAGAAAAAAAAAAGAGAAATTTATTGACCCCAAGTGTTTAAGCAGTATTGTATACATTTAGTAAAACTTTTTGATACATGAGAATTGCCACAGAGACCGTTATGAATTGATTAGTTGAAAAATAACTGATTGCCATGTTTGCTACAAAAATTACATCACACTTTACCATATGTTTTTTTCTTATTTTTTTTAACATTGAAATGTAAATCTGTCCATCTCTGTTTTCTTGCGTTCAGGTGGAATATGTGATCAAGTGCGACATGTCGGCCCTGCAGAGAGTGCTGTACAGACACATGCAGGCTAAAGGAGTGCTGCTCACTGATGGATCCGAGAAAGACAAGAAGGTGAGAAGACATGATTCACATCAAGAATATGTGAGGACGTTCAGTGTGTGTGTTTCTGAATGCCTCTAATATATATATTTCATGTTTGTTACAGGGTAAAGGAGGCACTAAGACCCTAATGAACACTATTATGCAGTTGAGGAAGATTTGTAACCACCCTTACATGTTCCAGCACATTGAGGTGATCATTTGGTTTACATATTCCTCATACAAAAAGGTCATTTATATCTTTGCATTTATCTGCTAGGTTTATGACACCTTGTTTGATGTATTTTTGCACTCTGTTTTGCAGGAATCTTTCTCTGAGCACTTGGGCTTCACTGGAGGCATTGTTCAGGGGTACGTAGAACACTTCCTGGTAATGGAAAATATGTAAACTTTGTATTTTCATTGGTTTTGTCTGTGACTTATCGTACACTGTATCACTCTCTTTAGACTTGATTTGTACCGTGCCTCTGGTAAGTTTGAGCTGCTGGACCGTATCCTACCGAAGCTCTGCGCCACCAACCACAAAGTGCTGCTCTTCTGTCAGATGACCTCGCTCATGACCATCATGGAAGACTACTTCGCCTACCGCAACTTCAAATACCTGCGCTTGGACGGTGAGTCACTTGAATCAGATTCACACAGAATGAAGAGTTTTAGGAAGAAGTTTTTGCATATGCTGGCAATCTATGACTTTCTCTGCTGTTTGTTTTTATTTGAAAGTTCTCGGATAAATAGTTCATTCAAATCTATGAATCACAGAAGGTTTAATCATGATAAAATCTTTTCTTTCTTTTTTTTTTGTCTTTGTCTTTGTAGGAAGCACTAAGGCTGAGGATCGTGGCATGTTGCTGAAGAACTTTAATGATCCGTCCTTTCAGTACTTTATTTTCTTGCTGAGTACCAGAGCAGGAGGTCTGGGGCTGAACCTGCAGACTGCCGACACTGTTATCATCTTTGACAGCGACTGGAACCCTCACCAGGTACAATACTGTCCCTTTAAATATAGCGGTATTTAACAATAGGGGAAACTCTTGATGTGACAAAAGTTATTATAGTAGCTTAATGTTGTAGACAGAATAGTTTTTATAATAGCTTATATTAAGTATATAATAGCATCATTAGTAAAGAATCTTTTGAATAGATTCATTGTCGAATAGAAGCTTTAGTACAGAATGATTGTGGAACAGAATCATTGTATAATTGAATGTTAATTTAAAAGTAATTTTTAGAATGATTCATTGCAGAATTGAGTCTTTAGTATAGAATCATCGTGGAATAGAATATTTAGAATCATTTGAATAGTATCACTGTACAATAGAATCTTTAGAATTATTTTAAATGGAATCGTACAATAGAATTTTTAGGAACATTTTAGAATAGAATGTATAATTGATTGTTGATTTATTTTCAATTTTACAAATTGAACCTTATTGTAAAGTGTTACCATGTAAGCTTTAGTACTGTTGAGTTATTTGGTGGTCCACAAATCAGTACTGCCTCTAACTCGAAAAAGAGCTCAGTCAACCACGGACACAAGGATCAACTCAAAAATGGCTTTTACTTTGCATCTTCAATAAACTTTCTACAGTCATGGTTGGTTTGCAGTGTGTTGATTTCTACTCAATTTCATAACTGATTAAAGCAGTTTTCCAACATCATGATTGTTTGATTGAAGTTAGATGGCGAACTTGAAACAGTAGTTTGCCATTTCAATAGGAAAAGTTCAGCTTAAGTTCAAAATAGATTCAGATTAGGTTGATAACCTTTAAAAAAAAAAAAACAGAATAAAATACAGAATTATAATCAAACATTTGACATCTTATGCATTAACATGTATACATGATATGCACACTTTCAAATACACTTAATAGTACACTTATGAACTGTATGCATTATAATTCTTCTAAGTAGAATAGCAGCAATTTCAGTCATATTAAACAGCGGGTTTCCTCTCTGTGATTGTCATGATTCTAATTAGTTTGGTATAATATCTCGTTAGTTTTATCCATGTTCTCACAATATTTTGTCACTGATCACTTCTTTCTGGTCTCTCGTAGGATCTGCAGGCCCAGGATCGTGCCCATCGTATCGGGCAGCAGAATGAGGTGCGTGTGCTGCGTCTGTGCACTGTGAACAGCGTGGAGGAGAAGATCCTGGCCGCTGCCAAATACAAACTGAATGTGGACCAGAAGGTCATCCAGGCCGGTATGTTCGACCAGAAGTCGTCCGGCCACGAGCGCAAAGCTTTCCTGCAGGCCATCCTGGAGCACGAAGAGCAGGATGAGGTACGGACACCCATTTATGATCGACAATTTCAGTGCCCTGTCAACAGCCTCCGTTTTCTATAGTTAACATTCGCTCTCTCTTTGGTTTTCTCTCTTATCTCAGGAGGAAGATGAAGTGCCAGATGATGAGACTGTTAATCAGATGATCGCTAGAAGCGAGGAAGAGTTCGATCACTTCATGGTTAGTAGCACTACTTGTTTAACTTCCGTTAAATTGACACTTTTTGTTTTGTTTGATTCCTGATTTTCTCTTAATGAGTTCCTAATTGTTCTTTTCGTTTCATCCAGCGCATGGATCTTGACCGCCGCCGTGAAGAGGCACGTAACCCGAAACGCAAACCCCGGCTGATGGAGGAGGATGAGCTGCCCACCTGGATCATGAAGGATGACGCAGAGGTGGAAAGGCTCACCTGCGAAGAAGAAGAGGAGAAGATGTTTGGCCGTGGCTCCCGTCAAAGAAAAGAAGTGGACTACAGTGACTCCCTCACGGAGAAACAGTGGCTGAAGGTGAATGTGAAATCACGACTGCATTATATTGAACCTTTGGTTATAAAAAGGAAGGCATATTGATGTATTTTACTGGTTCTCAGGCCATTGAGGAAGGCACCCTTGATGAGATTGAAGAAGAGGTGCGCTACAAGAAAACGACTCGGAAAAGGAAGCGGGACCGTGACCTCGACCTTCCAGGCCCGGCCACGCCTAGCTCCAGTGGGCGGAGCAGAGATAAAGATGACGACAGTAAGAAGCAAAAGAAACGAGGTCGTCCTCCTGCTGTCGCATCATATGACCCCTTTAAGGTGTAACTCTGAGCTGTTTTTGTTATTATTATTATATTTTAAGTAAATTGGGGCTATTATCAATCTAATAATATTAACATTAATCATGTTCTCTGTTCTGTACAGGAACGCATTAGAAGTCATAAGTACCGCACTCTGAACGACCTGGAGAAAGATGTCATGCTTCTCTGTCAGAACGCTCAGACCTTCAACCTGGAGGGATCACTGGTAATATTTGTTTTATTTATATTTTATTAATTTGTTAATTAGTATTAATTTTTATATTTTCAGTTTTAGTAATTGTTTTTTTTGTGTGTTTTTTTTTTAATGTCTATATTGTTTTTATTTCAGCTTTAGTTATTTTAGTACTTCCACTTAAACTAAATGATTGAAAATGTTTCCTTGACAACTAACTGAAATAAAATACATTTAAGGTATTCAGTTTTTTTTTTTTTTTCAGTTAATTTTTTTGTTTGAAGTAACAATGCATTTGAATAGTTTGTTTTAGTTAACAACAACACTGGTAGGTTGTTGGGTCATACTTCATTTGGCTGATTCAGATAAGATCATGATCTTATATTTCAGATCTACGAGGACTCTATCGTGCTGCAGTCTGTGTTCACCAGTGTGCGGCAGAAGATTGAGAAAGAGGAAGAGAGCGAGGGAGAAGACAGTGAGGAGGAAGAGGAAGAGGCAGATGAAGGATCAGAGTCTGAATGTGAGTACTGATGGTGATTCTGACACTGTAATGACAATATTTTGTAAAATGCAGCTATTATCTGAGCAGAGTATCTGGCATGTGCAACTCAAATTTAAATTGAGTTCAACATGTATACATATGCATGCATGTGTGTCTGTGTTTTAGCTCGTTCAGTGAAGGTGAAGATAAAGCTGAGTCGAAAGGAAAAGGTGGAGAGAGGAAAGGGAAGACGCCGAACCGGACGCAGTTGGCGCCCTAAACCTGTTGTTAGTGACGACGAAAGTGAGGAGGACCAGGAAGAGGTACTCATGAATAATTAGTGGAACTTGAAGGAAAAGTACATAAAAAAAAAAAGAGAGAAAATGGTTAATTACACAGCCCTGCATCTTGAACAAAATTGTGCTAATTTGCAAAAAATGCCTGTTACATAATTTTGATACTGAGTTCAAAAATATATTTTTTAAAAAATCCATCGCATACTCCCCCCCCCCAAATTTTTAATTATATTTTTCAAGTTATATATCAGTCAAAATAACAAGAGCAGTCCAATGTCAAAAGTTTTGGTTTTAATGAAATCAAGATTAGGCATAAAATAATGTCTTCAGCATCATTCATACATGTGAAAATCGTCTGACAGTTGAACAAATAGTTGTAATCTGGCTCAGTGGAAGATATGAATCATGTCTTTGTGGCAGTTTTCCTGATGATTAAGGGGTAATACAGGATAGCTTCATATAGAAATTGACAGCAAAAATTACATACTTTGTGAGAAACTGACATGCTTGAGCAAAGCAGGCAATATTTTTGGAATCAGCAGCACAAAATTAGTAAGAAACGTAACGCAAGAAAAGTATTGGATTTCATTCAGCAAATATGATGCAGGGTGGTGTTTCATTCACCCTCATGTTGTTGCTCACTTATGCTAATTATTTTTCTAATGTTTTTGTATAGGAGCATTCTCCTAGTGGCAGCGAGGAAGATTAAACCTTCTTCAGGACCAATCACAACTCTAGTTCACTTCTGCTGCAGATATGTAATTTTACATGAGACCTGTCAAACGGCCGCTCCAGAAGGACCTAGAACAGCACATTTTTTAGAGAGAGGACATGTATACGAAAACAATTAAATGAGAAAAATGACACTGTAAAATGCAGAAGAAAGCCCTTCCATTTGCATATTTAAGCAGACGATCTCCATTTATGTATAGCAAGACAGTTGAAGTATTGAGCATATGTTTCTTTCCATATTTGTTTTTATGATTTTTCTCAAAGACATGACATAAGATGCACAGAAATCTGACAGACTGACTCACAGTGGACCAATAAGAGCGGATCATGTTTCAATGTCCTCTTATTGTTTTTAGCCGTGTGAACGTCACCCCTTCTTCCCCCCAAGAACCCAGAATGCATGTTTGTGGAAAACGCAGCCAATTAGTTCTCTTTCTGTTTTTCTCTTGATCTCTCTGTTTAAATTAAGATTGTCAACAGGATTAAGGTACTTCTTCCTTTATAGACTTACTGTCAGGAGAAATGGGGGAGAATAGGATGTAGGATTCTGTACTGTGTCAGTGTCACTGGATTTCCAAAATGCACAATAAAGCCTCTCAGAAATACACTGCTTCAGATATTTATTTATTTATTAATGCACACAAGTTTAAACTTTTGGCTGATTAGAGATTGATAATGTTTATGATTAAATACTTATCCATTTAGGTGTCTAATAATCAATATGCATTAGTGATTTGAGACAATACTGTGCATAGTCAAAGAATTAAAGCAGCTGTAAGTTTTTTGTTTTTTTGCCTTGAAATATCAGTTTTAAAATCATTCTGATGGTACACACTTATATAATAAGGTGAATGACTCCTCCCCAGATGTCTGTTCTGGGAGTAAGTATGTTTGGTGAATGGGTATACAGCTGGCCACTGTAATTATGGCCATGAATTCCACTCACTTAACTGTTGGGGGCTTCAAAGTCGCAAAAATACACAAAACTACATACAGCTGCTTTAAGGTAAAATTAAGATTTTTCAGTTCTCTTAAAGGGGTCATATGATGCAATTTCAAGTTTTCCTTTCTCTCTGGAGTGTTACAAGCTGATTGTGTATAGATAAGATCCCTGAAGTTGCAAAGACTAAAGTCTCAAAACCAAAGAGATATACTTTATCAAAGTTAAGACTCTGCCACGCCCCCCTAAAACGACTCGTTCTAACACACCCCCACATATCTACCTCACTATGTGGAAATATTAGCATAATGTCGCCTAAATGTGCACGCAAAGAAAGAAGGCGTGGTTTCAGTAACTGCAGTTAGTGTTGAAGGAGCCATGTCAGGGAGACGCTGTGTGTTTCTAGGCGAAAGCAAAAGCACTTTATTTGGCCTTCCGAAAGTAAATGCATTTAGGAAAATCAGAGCAGACTGCGCTTGTCGGAAGGAGGGACTTTGTAGAAAACACAGTGTTTGAGAGAGGCGGGGCATAGAGGACCTACAATAATGTACAGTATTTGAAAAATAATGTGTTTTTTGAACATTAAAGCATGTCAACATATTCTGTTACACCAAATACACAAAATAATGATCTTTAAAAAAGCATCATATGACCCCTTTAATGCTATATAAGTCTTCTGGAATGAAAAGGAATAGTTAACTCAAAAATGAAATTTTGCTAAAAGTTTACTCACCATCAGGCCACCCAAAATGTAGATGAGTTTGTTTCTTCATAGGATTGGATTTGGAGAAGTTTAGCATTACATCACTTGCTCACCAGTAGATCCTCTGCAGTGAATGGGTGCTGTCAGAATGAGAGTCCGAACAGCTTATAAAAGACAACACGAGATTGAGAAAAGCTTGAGAAAGCAACGAAAGAAGGAGCAAACCAGGACTGCCTTCTATAGAGATCCTTACAAGTTTGTCAGCAGTCTCTTTAGCAAGGAGAAAACCGGTACCCTTAAAGTACCCATAGCAGATCTTGAGGAACACCTGAGGAAGACTTATTCTGACAATCAGAGGCACATGCCAATCTCCATTCCAGAAGACATGCCAGAAATTCAAATGTCGGAGCACCAGATGGACATAAGGCCTCCTAAATAGAGTGAAGTTGCGAGTGTGGTAAAGCGGGCAAGATAAACATCAGCCCCTGGACCCAACGGTATTCCATACAAGCTCTACAAGAATGCCCCAGGAGTCTTGAGGTACCTTTGGAGATTAATGATAGTGGCATGGAAAAAGCAGGTGATACCAAAAGTCTGGAGAAGGGCTGGAGGGATTTTGATGCCCAAGGAAAAAAAATTGTCAACTATTGACCAGTTTCGTCAAATTAACTTAAATATTATTAAATATTAGGTAAGATTTTCTTCAGCGTTGTGGTGCAGATACTGTCAGCGTTCCTGAAGAACAACAACTTTATCGAAACTTCAGTGCAAAAGGCAGGCATAGGGGGCTTCTCAGGATGTTTGGAACATGCTAACTTGATTTGGCACCAGTTGCAAATGGCCAAAAAAAGAGAAGAAAAACCTACATGTGGTGTTCTTCGATCCTGCCAATGCCTTTGGGACAGTGCCACATAAGCTGCTGTGGGCAGCATTCGATTTCTTCCATGTTCCAGAGCAGATAACAAAGTTGATTAAAGCCTACTTTCGGGATCTTCAGGTCTGTATTACCATACAGGATAGTACCACCACCTGGCAGCAACTGGAGGTTGGCATAATGGCAGGTTGTACCATCTCTCCACTGGCATTCACTATGGCAATGGAGCTCATAATTCGGGCATTCTGTTGGGAGGTTGGAAGGGAACGTTTGAAAAATGGGTTGCGGCTCCCTCCAATCAGGGCATACATGGATGATATGACTACCATCACAATGACTAAAGCATGTACTAAGCGGCTGCTGGATAAGCTCCAGGAAAACATCAGATGTGCACAAATGGAGATTAAACCCGGAAAATCTCGCAGCATCTCCATTGTCAAAGGCCGACTTACTAATGACAGGTTCTGTATAGCGGGAGAGCCCATACCAACGGTCAAGGAAAAGCCCATCAAAAGCCTTGGACGGTGGTACACCGCAGACCTTAAAGACTCAAAACAGTTGGAACAACTCAGGCAAGAGACAGTCAGTGGACTCAAGAGAATCAATGGTACAGCTCTTCCGGGGAGGCTGAAGCTGTGGTGCTTCCAATTTGGTTTGTTGCCACGGCTTATGTGGCCAATTTCCATATACGAGCTCACTTTATCTCACGCCAAGCACCTGGAGAGACTGGTGAGTACACAATTGAGGAAATGGATTGGGCTACCAAGATGCCTTGGCAGCATAGGGCTGTATGGCAATGGAGCTCTCTCTCTCTTCCTATTTCAAGCCTTGTGGAGGAGTACAAATGCACCAAAACGAGGCTGGAGATGACACTTAAAGAATCCCGCGATCCCTGCATAAGAGATGCTGCTCCAACATTGGTGACAGGGAGGAAATAGAATCCAGAATCCAAAAATAATAGAAATAGAAATAGAAATAGAATCCAAAGCCACTGGATGAGGTGGGAAGGTATAGAACGGCGTAAAATCACTTGGAGTGAGCTGTGGAGAATGGAAACCAACAGGCCAAGTTTTATCATGAGAGTCACATATGATGTGCTGCCCTCTCCAACAAACTTGCAGGTATGGTGTGGACAAGACCCAGCTGTGACCCAGCCACCTGTGCAGCCCCGGCAAACCTCAGACATATCCTGGTGGGTTGTAAGACCAGCCTGACACAGGGAAGGTACACATGGCGCCACAATCAAGTACTGAAGTGCTTGGTGGCAGCAGCAGAGACCAAGAGTGTCAACAAACGCCATCCCCCAAAATTCCAAGAATACCTTACCAAAAAGGCAGTCCTTTGTTAGGGAAGGGGCGAAAAAGCGGGCTTAGTGCCTGTCCCCTGATGCAGGCCAGCTGAATATAGCCAGGGACTGGGAAATGTGAGTCGATTGCAGTCACCAATCTGCGCCCAGACCTGGTTCTCTGGTCCAACTCCAGTAGGATCGTCATAATAGTCGAACTGACAGTCCCTTGGGAAGAGGCCATTAATGAGGCCTTTACATGGAAGAAGCTGCGATATGCCAACTTGGCAGCTAAGTCAGAGGAGCGGGGCTGCACAGTGAAAGTATACCCGGTGGAAGTGGGCTGCAGGGGCTTTGTGGCTAGTTTCACTATAAGGCTGCTGAAGGAGTTGGGCATCTGAGGACAGGTCCAGCGGAGGATAGTCAGGGAACTGGCCACTGTTGCTGAAAGAAACGGCCACTGGCTGTGGCTGAAGCGGATGGACACAGTGTGGGCTGCCAAATGTCCATGTAACAAAGTGACACACACCCGGGTCTGATTAGCCTGTGGTGGGCCTGCCTAGGCTGAGGGTGTCTTGTGATAAATGGCCGAAACACCCAATGAGGCTTGGGGAACACAACTGATTATGTTTTGCATTGGTGGAAACACCATACAAAGGTCATTGGCAAAATCACCTCAACAAAATGCATCTTTCACACAGGCTAAAGTTCGCACATAAACTGGGATCTAATGGACATCGGATAAGGTGTCTCACTGGCAAAATCCACGAAAGATAAGTACACATCATGTTCAGCATAACATATCATCAAAACGTCAAGGATCCACACCCGATGACTGCAGTGAAGAATTGTACCGTCCTCATCTATCCATCTTACCATACTAGTCCTTTTCTTATTGTTCCCCAGTCACGCATAAAGCAATTGTATATTCACGCCCGATTATTGGGTATTGAGGCAAGGACCACGGACATGGATTAGGCCATGATCCTGGATTATTGCTGAACCAAAATTAGAGCGTAACAATTGGTGCATCTCGCTGTGTTCTGCTCACAGCGAAGGAGAAAATGTTCTATGGTGCGGCTAAATGGTGCTGAATATTGGGATCATAACACCTAGTCCTATCATGCAAACACGACTTCAATCCATCAATTAATGTCTTATAAAGTGAAACGCTGTGTTTTAATTTTAAACCATCACTTCAATCTAAAATATCATGAAAAAGGTCAATATTTTTTGTCACTCATTTCAGAAAGTGAAACCCATATATTATATAGATTCATTACACAGAGTGAAATATTTCAAGCCTTTTACCAGGAAATTTGAGAGCACTTCATGCTTCCTTTTACTTTTACTTTCAGGACTTTGGACCACTGAGCAACAGTCCAGTTCTTTTTCTCCACAGCCCAGGTAAGACGCTTCTGACGTTGTCTCTGGTTCAGGAGTGGCTTGACACGAGGAATGCGACATTTGTAGCCCATGTCTAGGATTCGTCTGTGCGTAGTGGCTCTTGATGCGCTGACGCCAGCCTCAGTCCACTCCTTGTGAAGCTCCCCCAAATTCTTGCTGGTGCACCTTTTCCTACCACACTTTTTCCTTCCACTCAACTTTCTATGAATATGCTTGGATACAGCACTCTGTGAACAACCAGCTTCTTTAGCAATGATCTTTTGTGGCTTACCCTCCTTGTGGAGTCAAGTCAGCAGTCTTCCCCATGATTGTGTAGCCTACTGACCCAGACTGAGAGATCATTTAAAGGCTCAGGAAACCTTTGCAGGTATTTTGAGGTAATTAATGGGTTTTCAT